CCAAAACGGTATTCGCCAAATTACTCGTACTTAAACGTTTGTTATTGTTGTTGTTGTTGTTATTGCTGTTATGGCTGCTCTTGCCCATGACTTTGTATGCGTTGAGCCAAGGCGTTTCGCCCAGTTTGGGACTTTATCAGCGTTTACATCATAGGCCACAATATGCCACGGCTTTCAAATCAAATTCGCATTGTCATAATTTACAATTGCGCTCTGGCTAACTCCGATGCGTAGGCCGAGCTCAGGCCATGTCCGATGCAGTCGGGACAAAAGCCGTGTAATTGATGAAAGTCTCAGATCGCTATTAATGTCATCGATAACAACATTCTAGCTGGCCGTTAGCAGTGAGCGGCAATGCGATGAGGGGCCCACACCGGAGCACATCTGCATCTGGTGGTTACAGTGGTTCTGATGGTTCTGGTGGGTCGGGCTTTGTGGCTTACAAGCTCATAAACATTGGCGACACAAATCAAAACATGTCACAAACAGTTGCTACGCCTCAAAAATTCTTGGAAAGCTTTTTACTTCCTGGTGCCAACTGTCAACATGTCTGGGGACAGGGCACACCAGCTCTGTGCGCCTGCAGCCCTTTGGCTGATTTATGAGCCGCGTCAATTGCGCTGAGGCCCAAGTAGCTAGCCAAACAATTACCCAGTCATAAACGTGCCCATTAACCGACAAACAATTTTAAGAACTTTGCATCTTTTCGCATAACCCATTTACAATATGGCATGATTTGTGCATGAGAAAGCGCACTACACATCTACCCATAAAACAAACACAAACACAATGCCTGCCATATGCCATATAGAATAATCAGATGTCCTGCTTAAGGTTCGCTCATATGCTCAGTAAACTGGGCAACGCCTTAAATCGTCTTAAGTAAACACTTTAGCCTTAATGCCGGATCATTGTACAAACGTGGCTTATCGAAAGAAAGCCTTTTAATAACTCATATACATAATGTGTGTGTGTGTGTGTGTCTGCCAGCCATAACATAATCACTAAATCAAAACTTCAGACATGAGAAATATGAAAATTGAAAAACCGTTTCAGCGGGGCCAAGCCTCAAGTAGAACTTGCCGGATTCCAGGAAATTTGTAAGCCAACAGCAGTAACAACAACAGCAATAAACGGATATGTTAAGCACGCCGAAGATGAAATGCCCTTAAAGATATATAGCTTAGAAGTAGTTTTGTATATAAGCTACATTTCTAACTGATGTGCTATATAATATAATAGCTTGATTTGACCTTTTTACATAAGTTAAAAGAATAGCCTCGTTATCAGTGCAGATATAAAAAATAACTTTATTTCTTTATTTTATTTATTATATTGTAGCCCGATTCACTCGAATGCGACATAAGCATCGCCTGCAATAGAAAGACAAACCTATATAAAATTTCATGACAATAGTTTTAAAACTGAGAGAAAAGTTGGCGTAGAAACAAACAGATGGGCTGACAGTATAGGCACGATATATGTATATACATTCTTTATGGGGTCAGGTCAGAGATGGCTCCTTCTATGCGTTACACGCTTAGTAACAAACTAATAGGACCCTCAACAAGGGTATAACAACAACAGTAACAACAACGCGAACAGCTCCATTGATGCAGCATATCTCTGAGTGGAGGCTGACGTGCGGAGCTGCAACCGAAATGGCCCGAAGCGCGATACTCAACACTTCAAACAAGTTTTTGACACCGAAAACTGATTTGCTTGGAATAAGGGAAAAAGGGAAAACATTTTTATATTGGCCATTTCAATTATCTTAATGCACTTTAATATGCCAGGGCCAGATGAGAACGTTTTTACCGTTCTCTGACGCACCTCATTCTCGCGGTCTCTCTTTCTCCCTCCCTCTCTCTCTCTCTCTGTCTATCTGTCTCTCTCGCTCTCTGTGTATGTGATTGTGATTATCAGCTAATAAGGCATCAATAAATTTTGGTAAGCAGCAACAGCAACAGCGGCAGCAGCCGAAAATGCCATGGGGTCTCGGGATCGCCTCGAGATGTTGCCGCTGATTGCGCCACGCAGATTGCAATTAATTTGCAATAACTTTTGATAAATGCTCAAGTGTTGCCTGTTGTTTAACCATTTTATTTTTTAGTATGCAGGAACGTGGAATTAACATCGCCAGATAAAAAATTGACGCGATAAACAGCCAGAGATAGCACGTAGGAACAACCGTTAGTTACGTACATTTATAAGCCCTTAGTGACTATATAATGAAACCTAGTCATAATTTACGAAAACAATTAAGACATGGCGAAGAAAATTAACAAATCCTCTCTTAATATAATTGAAAACCGCAACCAACTGCGCAATATTCTGTTAAAAACTGCTAAAAACGACATGAAAACTTTGTTCTTGATGCATCTAATTCGGTCACACGAAAACTGGGATTTTCAATCTGTGACTTTAGAAAATAAAGAGTTTACCAATTAAAAGATGTTGTGGCTATGAGTTTTTTGAAACGGAAAACAGTTTGGTAATTGTACCTCTGAAAATGTGGCAAATGTGGGCTTTCGCATTACACAGATATAATTATATCTAATGTTTGAAGGCTCTAGCTTCGTTCTCTTCTTTACTTTTTACCCTAGCAGAGTTCTCTTCTTTACTTTACGTGCAGAGTAAGTATTTATTGTTGTAGGCAATTATTTCTTCTCTTCGTAACAAAACATAGCTCTGGAACCATTGAATAATAAATAAATAAATTCAGTAACTTCCGTTTCTTAATACAGCTTTTACCAATCATAATGCAAAGTCAACACTTTCCGTATATCAAATACTTGTATTCTTGTGGAGGCGCTATTATCTTAGAGAGATTTCTTTTAAAAGCAGCTCATTGACAGAGTTAATGTTACAATATACTAAAATGTTTTTCTTATATATTCAAAGCGGCAGAAAGCTAACACAACGTCGCAGCTGTAATAATAATATTCTATATTATACGAAATACTAACCTTTATGGGCATTCACTCTCTCCCTTTGCATCATCCTGGGTTTGCCTGAAGCCCAGTAAGAGCAGCATTCGCGACTCTGGTGGTCCATTGGCATCAAGAAATCCTGACGGCTTAAGAACATTGGTGGGCATCGCATCCTTTATGAATATGACAAGATTTTCAAACTTAATAGATAGATACGTCATCTTTATGCAATGGATTAAAGAAGCTATTAATGGTTTTAATGAATATTATTTAATTATATAATTATGTAAATGAATTGGATAAATATTCACAGTATGAAAGTTACAACAAATAACTTGCTTGAATTGTATCAGTTACAAAAGAACTCTTAGTTAAAGCTTTGACAAACAGATTGTATAATAGTACTCTGCGCACATATATCTGTGCATGCCACAGAAAAAATATCTTAAAGAGAATCTAAAAAATAAAATGAAAAAGCCCCAAAGGCTATATCATTTTATTAACTTACCATCAAATTTTATGTGCAGCCGCTAAGAAAAATGCCGAACGATCAGCATAAAAATCGCATGCGACGAATTTGCCATTGACGTTGAAGTTGCAGCATTGTGGGAATGTTGAAAATTTGAAAAATGTCATCAATAAGCGAAAAGTTAATAAAAAATAATTAATTTAAGCGAGCAGCGCAGCAACAGTTGCAAGCTGGCCAACAAACAGCTGAAGAGCTTCGGGGACCTCGCGAGCTGGGCGGGTCTATCCGCACACATTGACGCTGCAAGCGCATTTAAATTGAATAAAAGTTGCTGAAAAGCCAAACTCGAACCAGGAGACCCACTGACAACGCCTCAAACGTGGCACAGCGGCAACTGTGGCCGCTGTTGCTGCTGCCGTTATGCGCTTAACATCTTGGCATCCAATCAATTAGTTTTTATGCGCTTCATTGCCAAGCGCTGGTTATTCCCGGCCCGTCCCGTCCCGGCCAGACCTGGCCAAGCCTCTGGCCCCGTCTATACAGTTGCTGGCTGCAGTCGGGCTACAGGCCAAGTCGTCAGCAGTGTCAGCAACAAATTGGCGAAGGGACAACGACAACGACAACGACGACAACAACGACGACGACTACGACAACGACAACTCGCAGCTGGCAACCAGCAGCTTTTGCCGTCAGCGTCTACTAAAATGTAATGCGCCATACTTTCTCAAAATATATCGAGAGCTGGATGCGATGTGAGCCCAGGGAACGCGACAGCCGAGAAATGTATTCAAATAGCTTTCAAATGCCAGCGAAATGTGCGCAACTTTGCGGTTTTCAACGATTGACAAATCAATTTGGGGTTGACTCCGACTCCGACTTCGGCTCTGGCTCTGGGCTTGGATTTGGGTTTGGGGCTTTTGTTTGCACAAAGTGCAACACCTGCTGGTGGTTCGGTGTTGATTTTTGCCCGCTGAAGGCCAAGAATACCCGCTAGCTGACACCTAAACAGCCGAGCCAGTCACGTCGATCACAGGCCATTGAACACTTGGCAAATAAATATATGCGCATTGCTTTTGGGGCAGAGCGGGTAGAGGCAGCAGCACGGCCAGCAGATCGACGACAAGCTGCATAAATGCATGAGGATGGGCTCCAGCGCAGACAACTGCATTTGTGTTTAGCTCCGAGAACTGCCAATGATGGTGTTTGCATATATTTTGGCCAAGTCATTGCCGCTTGTTGTTGCCATTTGTAGGCTGCTGCATTGTTGTCGTTGTCCAAACACAACTGAAGTGTTAAAAACATTCCCATGTCAGGTATTAGCAATATAAGTTAACCCCCTTGACGGGTACTCCGCCACGTATTTATAAGATACAAACAGTACAAAGTCAAGGTTGGGCAAATAGAAAAGTTTGCTGATTGCAACAAAGTGGTTGCGACTTGATATTACCCAAGACAGCCGCCTAATTAGCTTGCCATAACTCTTAAGTTGTCATCATTGTTATCATCATCGTAAATCCCTTTTTCCAATATTCTTTAGTCAAAATCGGTACTATATAAACTGAGGAGTATTGCCTGTTTTTTGTTAGTTGGTCTTCATTATGGCAATTCAACTTAAGTGGCAGCTTATCCTCTTGGCCCTATTACTCTTTTATTGGTCTCATGTGGAAGCTCGATACACACGACCGCAACGCATTATAAATGGCTCTAAGGCAAAAGCGCAACAGTTTCCTTACCAAGTATTTTTTGACGTTCTTAACAATTCGAAATGGATCCCACAATGTGGAGGCGTTATAATCTCAGAGAGAACTGTGCTCACAGCAGCTCATTGCTTTGAAGATGGCATGTAAGTCAAGTGCAATATATATTTTTAAAAATTTTCCTATTTCTAACCATTTATATTAAAAGCGACTCAATCAAGCTATACTTCGGAGCTGTTAATAGAAAAAATTCCAGCGAAACGGGACAGCAACGTTTGATAGTGCATAGGGAAAATATTTTTATAAACGAAGGGTACGAATTTAATCAAACCCTTAACGATATTGCCGTAATAAATCTGCCAGCTGAGATACAATTTGATGAATTTATTCAACCAGTTGGATTGCCGAGTCCAAACCAAGTTATTGACAACCTAGAGGGTATGACGTCTGGCTTTGGCCACACTCAAGGTATGTCCACATAACCTAAAGCCAAATATATATTCACCATCAACAATTTCAATAGCACCAAAAGAGGGAATAGGAAACCTTTCAGACCACCTAATGTACTTAAAAGTGAGAATACTACCAAACAAGGTGTGCAAGCCCATACTGCACAAGTATGATCCTGCAAGATTCTTCCCATCATCTTGGGTCTGTATTGCACCCAATAAATCTACGCCATGCAATGGCGACTCTGGTGGACCGTTGGTTATCAAAAATGCCAACGGTACCAATACCTTAGTAGGCCTTACTTCATTCGGAATGGATACAATTTGCTCGCTCAAGAGGCCAGCAGTTTACACGCGAGTCTCATCATATTTGGAATGGATTCAAAGCGCTATCTACTAAATTGTAGTTAAATGATATACAATAAATACAGACTCATCTGAGTTATTGACATCTAATAAAATGTATGTAAATTGATGGGGAGTGGCCTGGTCTGGCAGACTAGGGATAATTGTGAGGGCCGGAATAGAACTCCGTAGGTCGAGCTAAAATAAAAACCTTTTATCGCGACTCAGCGAAATTGTTGTGTTAATTGAGTTGTTGTCAGCCTTTGTTGCATTTGTTGTTGTAATTGCTGTGTTCAGCTGTTGTAGTATGTCTCCTGCCTTCGCCCGTTTGCAATTCCACAGCAATTAGTGTTGCCTGTGTACACTGTCAGCTATTTCTCAGCAGATTTTCAAGTTGCCAGCATCCGTTTTGTCCTGCTCCAGCTCCTTGGCCACTGTTTTATCACGCTTTCCCTCTTCACGTGGCGCTCACGAGGAATCATGAGTCACAGAAACTGCCATTGCTCCCCTGACATGCTGACTAATATGCTGTATTATCTCTTATGTTAAAAAAATCGAAACTGAACTGAAGTTAAGCAAGTAAGACCAAGGATAAGACAAACGATGAGAAACTTGAATACTCTTGCCAAACTGCATTATCATGCAGTGTGAATTTATCAATGTTCTGTCCGAATAAGGAATATGACTCTATTTAAATGAATTAAAACAAAGCTTGTAACAATATTATTATAACAATTACAAATTTCAGCTATTCCTTGTATTAATTTAGTTGAATAGATAAACGACAAAAATAGCCTTTTAGAAGTATTGGAGATTATTGAATTAATTTCATTTCATAAAGTTATTATCGTAAAACGAATTGCAATCCATTTCAAGTTATTTCATTGAGTTATTATTTTGATAAATATTACAATATAGCATTAGCCTTATTATTTTACCAATTACAATTTGTATGAATACCACAATTAGTTTAAATAATGTATATAAACTGAGAATTTACTGTAAGAATCGAAAAGGTAACACCTATAAGCATAAAACTACATTTTGACAGTAAACTTTTCGAAAGTACTCAAACTTCTCTTAATTATTTATTTAAATAATATTTATATAGCACAAAAAAAGATAGTTTTCTATAAGAGACAGCAATACCTTAGGCACAAGATGATACATAATGTAGGAATAGATTTTAAACTTTAATTTACGGATGTTGCTGGAGAGTGCCGTGAGAGTATAGAAAAAACGCATGGTGCACACGCCCAAAAACTTGCAATAGAAAAAAGCCTAAGCAAATATCCAGGCAAGCACAAACAGTCAGAGCAACCACAACAACAACAACAACAGCAGCAACAGCAACAACTGCAACTGCTGCAACAACAAACGTTTTGTGTCACAAAATATTTGAATGTAAAGTGCGCGGCTCGACTGCGACTTGGTTGCTGTCTCTATTCCTTGGCAGCCGGTGCAAGTGCCTGGGCAGGCTGACGTGCGCCTGTGCGACCAGGTAACGAAGCACCCGCGCCCGCTCCGGTTCCCTCTCCTGCGCCCGCTCCCATGTCTGCACCCGCGTCCAATGGGTCGGCTCACTAATTGGTCACGACAGCAGCAAGCGTTGAGTTTTTGAAAAGCGAAAAGTAAAATCCATTGAATTTGGCAACGCTCCAACGTTGCGATTCTGTTGGCCAGGCCAGCTGAAACCTTCAATTTTGGTAGCTAGACGGGCAAAACAAAGCCAGCCGCCCCTGCCCCTGCCCCCGCCCCCGCCCACTCTCCACGTCTTTCCCCTCCAGCAGTCGCCTGATGGGGTCTTAAAGTTTAACGTCGCAATTGATTTTAGTCGTCAGTTTTGTTGGCTTTTGATTTTGTTGTTGTTATTGTTGTTGTTGTTTTTGTTGCTGCTGTTGTTGTTGCACCGATGGCGCAAAACTTAATGCATTTAACATTAAACTATTCGATTATTTTTCGTCGTTTATTTGGCAAATTTATAAGCGACTGCATTTCAGTTTTATTATAGAATATAAATTTGAATGCATTTTTAATCAGAGTTTTATGTTCGGCTCAATTTTAAATTATTATTCAAACTGTTATTAATTTCAATGCTTATTGTTATTTAATAATTCACAATGGATGGCGCAATGCTTGTTAAGAATTGAGAAAACGTTGCTGTGTCTTATAGGAAAGATACAACAAATATTACCCTTTATTTGGTCTTGGAGTTTTTGGAGCTTACTTCATATATTTTTAAGCTAAACTACTTCCTGAGTGGAACCCCAACTCTCGCTCCTCATTTGGCAAGGCCCATTAACCACTCTGTCTGTTGTAAATGTAATTTTGGCATTATTTATTGGCTCGTTTGTTGCTGTTGCAGCAACAATAATCAAAATTTCGGCAGCCGCCAACGGCAAATGTTTAAAAGAAACAAAAACAAAAAAACAACGCAGACAACGTCATTCATCAAATAAAATTTACTTAATGAAATTAATAAATAAATTATGATATAAATCTTGTACAGTCGCCGTATGAACGCCGCCGCCAATGTTACAGCAGCACCAGCAGCAACAGCAGCAGCAGCAACATTTTTATTAAAAGCTCTAAATTATTGGCAGTCGCATGCAACGGCGGCAACAAAGCAATCGAGGCTGGTCAACTGGCGGACGAGGCAACAACCAGACACATGGGCAGCCCGCCAAGCGGACCCATGGACAGCCAAGTGCCTGGCCTGGCCACATTAACGAGCAAATGTCAATTTCGCAGCAATCTTTTTGCAATTTTTGTGTTTTTTAGTTAATAATTTTTGCTGTCCAGCTGTCGGCAACGGCAACGACGTCAGCGATGCGCGTGCGCAGAGGCAACAGCAACGACAGCACCTGAACTTACGTAATGTGCTAAAATACTTAAGACTTGCTTAAATTAAGTTAATATATGATTTTTTTAAATAATTTTAATTGAGTTTTTGTCGCTTTACTGAGGGTAGTTACGTTACGATGAGTCAGATATTTTGTACATAGATAGATGTACATATAGATATTGATATAGATGTGGATAAAGATATAGATGTAGATATAGATATAGAAAATAATAAATACTTACATGATTCCTTGAGCTAATGTTAGAGTATTATAGATTCGTACTCCAATCGAAGTTTTCTGTTGGTCAGTTGATAAAATTTTGAATTACCGACGTTTTTCAAATATTTTTGTTGTATTTTTTGCAATATTTGTTGGCACTAAAATGTGTCAAATATTGACAATTTATATAAGTAATGCACATAGAAGCATAGGTAGGCGCCCACAGGGGCAGAGCTGGAAGGTAGCCTAGGCGAGAGACTGGCAAGAAATATGAGTTAAACGCGTTTTTTAGGTCGATGCAATTTTTTGTTGTTTCTGTAGTTGTTGCCGTTGTTGTTGTGTATATGTTGTTCGTATTGCTGCATTGCAATTTTGATTGCCGTTGTTTGTTAGTGTACTGTTGCCGGTTGTTGTTGCTGTTGCCGCTGTAAACAGGAGATTGTTATTTGCAACCCGCTGTGCGTACACCGCAAACTGGACAACTTAATTTGGCTAAAGTCGCTTGTTAGTGTTGCCCGTTTGTGTTGTTGTTGTTGATGTTGCTGTTGCTTTGCTTGCTGTTGCGGTTGTGGTTTGGCCTGTGATTGCCGCTGTTGTTGTTGTTGTTGTTGTTGCTGCTGCGGCTTCTGCTGCCTGCAATATGTGCTCAGCATCGCATCACTGTGGCACATATGAATGCAGTCTGTGAATAAAGATGAAGAAATCTCCCGCCTGCAGCTCTGCAGTTGTCAAAATGGCAATGGACAAGTTTATTTTATTTCCCTGCTGTTGTTGCTGTTGCTGTTGCTGTTATGAAAACGGCAACAATTAGAGGAACACGTAGTTATAAATGTTTGCAGAACAACGCAATGCAGGCCTTGACTTTCTACGCCGTTAGAAGCATGGGAATTTTTATTAGCAATATTTCCAATCGCTTTTCATAGCTACTATCCACTTGCTTACTTAGTTCTGTGCCTTCTTATTACCTTAATAGCACTAACTAACGTGATTTTTTAAGCTGCTCAGCCCTGATCCTCTGGCATCCTTTGAACAGAACGGTTTTTTATTTTTTTTATTTTTTATTTTCTACCCACTTAATTGCTCACGTCTTTGATTAATTTGTTGACTTTCTTAGCTTAATAATTGCCAAGCGAGAAAAATAAAAACGGAGGCGAGTCCAGCACAAAAACAAATCCCCAACTGCATTGCGGCGACATTTTGCCATTTGCCACGCCAAGTGCTGCAGCAACTGCAGCTGCAACAACAACTGGAAAGTTGTCGCGTCACATGCAACAAACGACATTTATCATGTTAACCTTTGAAGTGCATTTGTCTAGACGTCTTCAACGAGAATTGTTGCTGTTGTTGTTGCGTTGTTGTTGTTGTTGATGTTGCACTGCCGTTTTCTGCTGCGGCTGCCGCTGGTGCCGGCAGTTATGACAGCAAACGGCATAAAAAATCACGGAATAACATCAGAAAGCAACAAGGAATCATAATAATTTGTAATAAATTAACGCCTCGTGTGTGCGCTGCGACAGGCAACAACAGCAACAACACCTACCACAGGCGGCATCGGGTCTAGCGCAAGGATTAAAACACGCCCAGGCCGTGGCACAGGCCTGGCAGCAATGCCTCTCCGTCATCTTCATTAAGTCAAGGCGCGTTGTTGTTGTCGAGTGCAAAGTCAACCCGCCAGACGGCCGTACATATTGCACATATGCACACACACACGCACGCACACACAGGCACACACAGGTGCCCATTGCCCAACTCCCTCTGGCCCATATCCTTTTGTCTAATTTCACGCTGTCGTCTCTCATCAAAGCCTGACGCGCGTCCCCGGCGAGTAATTCATCATTTCGCGTGACGTACTCGCCTCCAGCTCCAAGCAGCAGCTCCTTGGCACACACAACACACTCGCACACACATACACACGGAGCACATAAATTCTCAAGTGCTAAATGGATTTTTTTATATCGCCAACGTTGGGACTTTTGAGTTGCCTCCAACT